ACAGGCACATTAAGTTAACACATTTACTTTGATCTGTGAAGTAACTTGACAATTATCGTTGTGTTAAATGTTTGATTTTTGGTAGTTCTACCAAGATTTGGCAAATTCAGAGAAGGCTCTTGAATGCCTCCAACGGGTCCTGCAAATTGATGGAAGGTATTATGTTGTGGATACATTGTTTTCTTTATCTTTTGGTTTACGAAGATTTTGTGGTGCTTGATTCCCGATGTGATGTCCATTCTCTTCACTTACGTTGGAGATACTTGAGAGTCTTTCTTCTTTAATAGGTTCACCAAAGCAAATTACCTACTTCTCCATGGGATGGGAGAGCACAGGTAACCTGTCCATCAACTTAGTTTTTCTTTTTTTCATCCTTTTCTTTAAGAGTATGTCCAAATCACTAATTTAATGCAACCACCAATGAGTTAACTGAATAGTCTTTATGATGTTATTGACCATCCATATAAACAGCATTGTTTGGTGCTTTTTGCCTCTTATGTGCTATACAAATTCTTATACCAGTTTCACATTTTACCCTATGCACAAGTCTCCCTTGTGTCTTTATCTCGTTTTTTCATTCATTCCATTCCTATCCCTCATTATTGGGTGTTAGGAGGGGTAGATTGGGTCTGAACTTAAATTTACATGTAACATTACAACCTATTGCTTTTATTGTTGCCCTTTGTAATAATCAATGAGAGCATTAATGCTATTGCTTAATATAGAAACATAAACTGCTTTCATTTAACTTTTCTACGTTTTAGTTTCTACTTTCTAGTCTTCCCCGTCATATTAATGGTAATAAAGATAATCCAAATGCCTAATCATGTCCTTTTTCCTTCACCTCTTCTTTTTTCACTTCTCTGTGATTTTATGTTTTTTTTACACGTTTATCTAAAATCTATACTAAACCATTGGAACAGCTTAGCTCAGCTAACTCTAATCCTTAAGGTTTGTTGATGTCTATTGTTTTTATGTTTCTGTTTGGTCAGAGCATTTTCATGTGGAAACTCCCATCTTCTGCACAAATATATTGCACCTACATGGTCTTAGCTATGTTTCTAACCATCTTTTGCCTGGCCATACCGTAACTCTCACTCCTGCATTCTTATTCCTGATTGAAGGCAGTGCGACATGGTAGAGCTCTTGTGCGAGTATCATTCAACAGTAATCTGCAGAAGTCGGACTACATTATGGTAACGGCTGATCCTCTTCAAATCCTGGAAATATGTGCCTTTAAAAGCAGATATTCCTTTCTTTCATAGGATATTAGAGTGTTGAAATTGTACAAGAAAACTGCAGGAAAATGTTTACTTTTGCATGATTATGTCCTGAAAATAGCTTGCCTCTATAAACTGCAGTAATTCTAGAAATTATTCAAAACACTAGTCCAGTCATTTTTGCTTAAAAACCCTATTCTCTTTGTAGCATTTTTCTTCGCTCACCATACACATGTGCACACATGTATGCACCCATACATGCGTTTGACTTTTTTGATTGTTTGCAGACACCTGCATAGTGGTGCAAGATTAGCACCAAACACTAGATGTCTAGAACTAGGATATTGTTGAGGACAATACAGTTGAATGTGTAAGGAGAGGCTTCTGTTTGTGCTAGATGACACAAGCAGCAAACGATAGAGGTTTGGAATTCTTTAAGTGAATGCTGAAGCCAGATCTAATGGCTGATAGTTATTTGTTGCAATTATAAATTAAAACCTTATAAGAAATTTATTTTTGAATCACTCAGTTCTCTGTGTCTGAGATTGTTTTACTTTTACATGGATAATTTTAGTTTGGGCTGCATGTGAGCTTATTTATGATTTTCTCTCTGTTCCAATGAGTTTATAATAATTCTAGATTATGTTTAAATAAGTCCTCAATTTATTATTTTTTTTATTCTGCTTTCAGTGCAAGCCTTTTCTGGTATTTTTTATGTAGTCCTCTTTGCAATTTAAAATCACTGTTAAATTGTGAATTTCTTCAGAATGCAGTTGGTTCTCATTTATACCCTCAGAATCCAGTCCTCCGCCTTGGAAGTCAGCTCAACTTCAGTGTAGAAGGTTGGTGTATGATAAAATTTTACATTAATTTTTAGTTGGTCACAACTAAAACTCACAAATCCATTTCGGAAATCTAGATCTAAAAGACAACATTGAATTAATGTTTAAAAAGCCATACTAATTGTATATGTCAGGTAGAAATCTTAGTCTGAAATTGATGAATAATTCAAATGCTATTTTTTTTTGTCTGAAATCTATACTAAACCATTGGAACAGCTTAGCTCAGCTAACTCTAATCCTTAAGTTGGATATGCCCAGTAGTTGCAGGAATACCATCAAGGATTTATCCGTTGGGTTAAGCTTGAAAGCTCAAACATTGAGTGTTTATATTTAAGAGCTTCTTCCTTCCATGCTATTGGAGAATATAGAGAAGCGGTATTAGGGATTCTTTTTCTTGATTTTCCCATTTAAACTACTGGGCATCATGCTCAATTCTTCTTTGCTTTGGTTTTACTAAATTTCATTTTATGATAAAGGTGAAGGATTATGATGCAGAAAATTACAAATTGTATGAAGAAGTTGGAGAAGGTGTCAGCGCCACTGTTCACCGGGCTCTCTGCATTCCTTTGTGTTGACTGGGATTTGGGAATGTATCCTGCTCAAAATTGTCTTTGTCGTACATGAACCAATTATGATTAATTGAATACGAATCCCTATTCTGCAGTGTAATGATGTGTAATATGCTTGACTATTCCATTGCATCTGCATGTGCAAGCAAATGACTTAATCTATTTTTTCTTTTTATTTTTTGATTGTGTTTGTTGTTTGATTTTGATTCAGACACAATCATGTAATGTTTATTTAGTCAATATATTGAAGTAGCTGTAAAATTTTATTCATATTATTGTTATTTTTCAGCTTTATTACAGGTATGTTTTTTAGTTAAATATAACAGATTCAGAACAATTTTTTTTTAAAAAAAGAGCTATAACGGCGTTTTTTCAAAACGCCACTACAGTGCCAACGGACATTTTTTTAAAATAAAAAAATCTATCACGGCGTTTTAAAAACGTCGCTAAATATAGGATGACGTCATTTTATCATTATTTATCGCATTTAGCGGCGTTTTTAAAAACGCCGCCTATACTAATTTTACGACGTTTTTAAAGCGTCATAAACTTATAGCGACGGCCGCGTCCTCGACGTTTGGTGATAAGCTTGCATGTTGCTTGATTCAGACTGGGAGGACAACTCCACAAATTTATTTAGAGTATGTTCAAACAATTCATCAATAATTCCACCGCCAAAATGTTTGGTGAAAGTTCATTCAAAGTCAGCTCTGAGGTGCATTATTTTTTGTTACACCCACAAATATATATATTTTTTTCAAATTTTAAGATCTAAGCACACCTTCAAGAAGAGAGTTTGAAGGTTCAAACCAATCCACAAGTGGTACCACGAAATACATTGCGAATAAATGACTCAGCTGCAAAAGTGGAGTCTCAAATACTTTTGCAACTACAAGGTTGCCATTGTTATTTTTTCAACACAAAAAGCATAGAGAACTTCAGATACAAATAAGATAACAACATTATAAATGGATCATCCTTGAAAATAAACGACTTGAAATCCACGGTAACATGATTATTATTACAAATTTAGTCAAGCTCATATGATATGATACGATACGATACGATACGATATGATCTGGAGTATGCGCCTGCATAGTGTGACACCATCACCAATGGAAATCTGAGTGATTTCGATTCGGGGGTCAAAGGCTAAGTGCTTGTTGAGTTCAATTATGGGCTTTTGGTTGGCACGGAAACACTTGGGGACTTCTTCTTCATTGCTTACAACTGAACCACGATACAGAGTGTTATCATACGCAATATGTAACGCCCTCAAAATAATAACATTAAACCCATAAAATAAGACATTCATTGATATGTAAAAGTTCCGCATTCTTCCATTTATCAAGGTTTCATTACAAAAAGTATTACATGTTAAAGGGTAAACCCGGGATCGCTATAGAATAACACCTCCTACTTTCACCAGTTTTATCGCTTGCTCGTGATAGTTAATGTCGTTGGGCTTATCGGCATCCACAAACACAAAATCAAACTCCATTTTCAACTTACCCTTCTGCCATATATACACAATTCATACAATTAGTTCCCAAGTTAAAGAACCGGGCGTCCTGTATAAGCATGTCAGTCAGAGATTTACAGAAATTGGCACAAAAAATGTGATTGACAATGCTGGCAAAGAATGGCAGATCAAATTAGGAAAATGTTTTACACTCCCAAATAGTAAATTTAACAGTGCAAAATAATTAATTGTGTAATTGTACTGGTCAATGCAATAAAAAAATCGGCTTTAAAATTAAAACTCACATCGCTCAACATTTCATTGAGAACAGAAATGGCATCTGATTCTATGAAATTGACCTTGTGCTCCACACCAGCAGTCCAACTTCAAATGCTTCTCGATTTGGATCTATTGCTACTATCTGTTGAAAAATTAAAAAAATAATAATAATGAAAACAAAAAGACTGATTTAGATTTTGTCTATATTGGAATCTTAACATCATTTTATGAGGGAACAAGAAAAACATTAATTCTAGTAATTAGAATCTTTGTCAGCTTGTCATGTTTAAATCCCAGTAGAACTTAGTCTCTCATATTGAGCAAGTACTTGTCCTAGTTACCTCATTATTGAACTCATTCCCCAACCAAAAAAAAAAAAGTACTTGTTTGGAGATAAGACCATGACCATGAGATTAGACTATGTATCTTGATCAATCTTGTATCATATTTGGATATAAAATGCGTCTTAGGATTGATAGTTCCGCTGAATTGTGTATCCCTCGTATTGGGAATTATTGAGTCCCATTGAGAAGGATACAAAATGACCGAGTAAGGAATCCAAATTATGAGTTTAAAAGACCAAAATATCCTCAAACATGGTCATTACATTATGTAATCAACGTGTCTTAAGGATTTCAAACAAAAATAGAATAGGTTACATAATTCCTTCCTATTGCAGGAACATTCCAAACGTCATAATTCCAAAAAATTGGTAATTCCAGAATTATTAGTTTCAAAATTAATGATTCCATGTAATCTAAGTCTTCCTTTGTAACTTGGCTAAAAATTTAGTTTATTGGCTAAAAATAGACCCACAAAAAAGCAAATGCAAACAAAAACAAAAACAAAAAAGTTTGAAACAAACATGGTCACAAGTATTCCATTCCGCTCACAAGAAAGGGGTTTGAAAGGTTAAGATAATTTTAATAAAGTGGTTATGATAATAACTCCATCATGCCATTCTCAAATGAAAGGCATGGATTAATTGGAATGACAATTTGTTGATTTAAAAATGTTAAAAAGCAAATTTTTAACAAACTCTTTTGGGCTTGATTTAAATTTGATTACAATTTCAAGAGGCAGTTACAAACCTGGCCATCATGAGGTAAAGCAAGGGCAGTGGTAAGAAGAGAATAGCCAGTGAAAACACCAATCTCCAACGTCTTCTGGGCATTCATTAATTTCAAAAGCATAGACAAGAACAATCCTTCATCAGGGGGCACACTTAGCTTCGCTCTACAATTCAAATTGCAATTTTGTTATACTTTTTAAAAAAAAAAAATTAACTAAATAAGTTGTGAATAAACAAAATTCTGAAAACATTTTTTTTTTTAATGTTTCATTGGCCACTACTTGGAATCAAGACCATTCAAAAGTAGTAGTGTTTTGTGGCCAAAACTTGTAGTAACAAGTTAACTGGGCCGATTAAAAAAAGAAAAAGAACAAATCATTTTCGGTCCATGATTTAGACTGGATGGTAAAATCCGGGCTTGTGGAGATCATCACGGATTTCATTATGATGATCCGAACAATTCATTTTATAGAGTTCTTTGTGTATACCATTCCCAAAAAAATAAAACAAAAAAGAAAAGTCGATTTAACAAATGCGATAAATTGAATAGGTTACGATTATCAAATTGACCTAAATTTTTTTGTGAATGATATACACAAAGGACTTTACAAAATGAATGGTTTGAATTATCGAAACAAAACCCGTGGTTGGCTCCATAGATCCGGACAACACCCTCTAGTCCATGATTTTGACTAGATAGAAGCTAGGTCCAATAATTTAATTATAAAAATATATTTCAGGTTGCTTAAAATGATGTTTGAGTTTATTAATATTGTCAACCATATGTGAGCAAGTCCCTAACCTGTCGCCATATTTCTTGAATGTTGCATCTCTTAGCCTCTTGAGCTGCTCATGTTCTCTTGGGTATGCACTGGTATCCAAGATGTACTACTTAACCAAAATTGAATCAATAAGCAAAATGATTGATATAAATCCATAAAATGGTGTTGCCCACATCTAAAACAAGTTTTTTTTTTTGATGAACAAATAAAAACTTCATTGATGAGAATCAATGTACATAGTATACTAAGACAAACATCAATCAACTGAGGGGACAAGTGCACAAAGTATCAAAGCAAAAACTCAACAATATATGAAAAAGGAAAACATATTGTTTGGCAGTAAGGGTGTATATATTGTTTGCTTCGGTCGAGTATTAGAAAGAATTTGGGAGCAAATTTTTTCTCTACATTTGTATTTAGCAATAATCAAAACATACCATTCATCATTGTAAACCGCACCAAACCGTTATGCATTGTGGCAGTTTGGTCACATTTTGAAATTTCATGTTTTTAATGAACAATCAATTAACAATATAATGAAAATACAAAGTTATAAACTCAGTTTTCCTGTTCAAAATATTGACACCATCAATATAGTTTGATTCTCTCATTTGGACGAATCAAAGGTATACTTTACACTATAATGCTACAATGGTCAAATTTGTTTAAATGAGCGAAAACAGGTCCTCAAGACTATTTAAGCTACACCCTCGGTCCTACAAAGTTGGTGACGTAACATTCTTCATCCAATTTTGGACTAACATTAATTGTTGGATTAAATTGAGAAAAATTAAGAAGGTAAGGAAAGTGGGAAAAAAAACTTTAAAGGCCAAATCTGAAAAACCCTAAAACATAAGGGGGCAGAGTGTATTTACTAAGGGAGTCAAAATGTAATTTACCCTATCAATAATGCTACAATTACCACATTTATATATAATAAAGTGCTTTCCACCTCATGTGTTACCATTGTGTTAGTAACAGATATGAAAACTGGAGCCATATAATACGTTGATGATATATGGATAGAATAATGCTTGGGACCCCCTTTTGGTGGTCACCCCCCTTTGCCACGTGGCGAGTGGTGATTGGGGGAGCAGGAAAAAAAAAGAAAAAGAAAAAGAAAAAGTAACCAATGAGAGAGAGAGGGGGTCAAAGGGGGTGAGGGGAAAAGGGGGATGAATCATTGTTGATATGGATAACAAAATATTTTATGGTGTGCAAATTTGACCATTGTAGCATTTTATCCTATATGAAACAGAGCCTAATGCCCAGGGTATATTTTAAGTTTGTTTAGTTTAAATAAATTGTTTATTACTCTTTTTCCTCTTTTCTTCCTCCTTTATTCTTATTATTTATTTGTTAATTGTTTAAGATTTTATGTTGGACAGTTTGTTGTAGATCTGCTTATAATTATTTGATAAAAATAGATTAAATAATCAAGATGTAAAAATAAAAAATTGCATAAGGAGCGTTTTTAAATTTTGCTTAAAGATTATCAAATTATCACTAAAATATTTAACGAAATTTGATAATAAAAAATGTTTTGATTGATTGATTGATTGATTGGACTGCACCACCATCCACCGCTTTTCAACAATCAATATTTTTTAATTATAAATTATTTTGATTGATTGGACTGGGATTGTCTAATTGAGAAAATTGTCAAAAAATTCAT